TGTCGCTCTCTACCTCTACTCTGTACGAACTCTCCAGGTTCCAGGATCTTCAGTTGGTTCTAGAAGTCCGAGAGAAGCGGTCTAACAGAACGCTCGCGAAGGAGCTACAACTATCCGCTTACTGGTCACGCTTAGGCGATCGGACTTGGAACTTACCTAAAGTGACCGCACGTAGGTGGTCAGCATGAGCAAGAAAACATCCCCTCAACAAGAAAAAATGTCAAGTTATGAACTCGAAGTGCTAGCGATAGTCGAAGCCTTGAAAAAATTTCGAAGTTATCTCTTAGGCACAAAAATCAAAATAGTCACAGACTGCGATGCATTTCAGAAGACAATGCAGAAAAAAGATCTGACACCAAAGATAGCTAGATGGGCACTGCTACTCGAAGAATTCGACTATGAAGTTATCCACAGACCCAATCAACAGATGAGACATGTCGACGCATTAAGAAGGCATGCTGTGTGCATGGTCACTCGTTCGCAAAGTGAAATCACTTCTAAGATAGCAAAAGCGCAACAGGCTGATAAGCGTCTTCAATTATTGAAAACTCTGGTTGAGAAAGGATTTAGAGATGACTATCTGCTAAAAGATAATGTGTTGTATCTGCAGGAGAGAGGTCGAGAACTCATCGTTGTGCCGGAAGCGATGGAATTCGAGATCATCCGTGGCATACATAACAAAGGACACTTTGCTGTACAAAAGACAGAAGATCTGTTGAAAGAGAGATTTTCATATTTCGAATGCTACAAAGAAAATAGAGCACGTTATAATGAACTGTGTCGAAGTGCATCCTCTGTAATAAAAAGCGAGGCAAAGCAGAAGGTCTATTGAACCCAATCCTGAAGGACAATATTCCGTTAAGCACATATCACATAGATTTTCAGTAGGACCCCTGACTTCTACAGATAAGAGATACCGACATATATTTACAGTGGTAGATGCTTTTACAAAATTTGTCTGGTTTTACCCAGTCAAGACAACATCAACGGCAGAAGCTGTACAGAAACTAAAAATCCAAACAAGCTGTCCTTCGGAAATCCTTCAAGAATTATCTCTGACAAGGGATCTGCTTTCACTTCAAAGGACTTCTGAAGGAATACTGTAAAGATGAAGGGAATTCAGCACATACAAATCACAACAGGCATTCCAAGAGCCAACGGCCAGATCGAAAGAATTCATGGAACCCTTATCCCAGTGCTTGCAAAACTGTCAGTAGATGATCCTGCCAAATGGTTTCAAATTTGTGCCTGACGTCCAAAGAATCATCAACAGCACCGTCAGTAGATCAACGAAATTCACTCCTTTCGAGCTGATGACAGGCGTGAAAATGAGAAATAAGGCAGACCAAAGAATTAAAGAAATTCTCGATGAAGAATTCCTGAACTCCACCATCCAGGAGAAAGTCTATTCGTGAAGAGGCTAAAGCGAATATCTTAAAACTGCAGGAGGAGAACCGACGACAATACAATCAACGTCGTAGAGCCGCTCCACTCTACAAAGTCAACGACCTAGTAGCCATTAAAAGAACCCAGTTAGGAGGAGGTCTCAAGCTAAGACCTAAATTCTTAGGACCTTATAAAGTGATCAAGATTAAGCCACATGATCGATACGATGTAGCCAAAGTAGGATCTCATGAAGGACCTGGAGCAACTTCCACTTCGGCAGACAACATGAAGTTTTAGTCTGATGACATCGCAACTTGAGATCACTTTGCAAACAATTTTTCAAATGTTTTTTTTTTCCCCTATTTTGTGTTTTACAGATGTATTCCAGTGTTCGGAGGTCCTCATCTGTCGATGGCCGAGCGTGTGGGAATCGTGCTTCAACGAAGCACCAGATGTCACTCTCTACCTCTACTCTGTACGAACTCTCCAGGTTCCAGGATCTTCAGTTGGTTCGAGAAGTCCGAGAGAAGCGGTCTAACAGAACGCTCGCGAAGGAGCTACAACTATCCGCTTACTGGTCACGCTTAGGCGATCGGACTTAGAACTTATCTAAAGTGACCGCACGTAGGTGGTCAGCTGTGACTTTTACATCTCCATAGTGGAACCAGTGTGATTACTCTCCTAAAAACTCCTCCATTTGTACATACTCATTCCGTTTATCTTTTCTTCTATAAAAAAGGAATAAAACCTGATGCTTTGTATCGTGAGTGTGATCTCTGTTTGATGATAAGACGTCACCCTCACAGTAATATAGAAAATCACTAAAGCATTTCTACAAGTTTGACCTATACCTCTGATGCTGTACCTCATAATTGAATAATCCGCAGGCTTAAAATGGGCTAAGAAATTGAAGATAAAGATTTTCTTCTAGGAGTCGCTGTTTCTAAATTCAGATACTAATATAATTTTCCAAACTATTTTAGATACATTTGGCAAATCTATGCCGGCACTATATATTCGGTACTTTCTTCGTTCTGACTGATTTGCCTTCTTATCTAGCAGCTACTGAATTAACTAAGAGAACGAATGTTCCACTCGACGCAAAGTATGCAAACTCTGACTTTTTTTTAATTTTCAGATATGCAGCCCAAATTGAAATAGCCAAATAAAAGTGGGGGGGGGGTCTTGGCACCGACTACAAAAGCAGTAAGAATAACTCTGAATTAAGCAATTTAAAAACAAATCTCGAGTCAGAAAGCAATGGTCCAGTCCGAAACAAATAGTTCAGTACTAAACCGATGCTTAAAAGATGAAAATGGTTTGTTGATTACAGCAAAGCACACTAGGGCTATCTGCCTAAGGGTAAGGATGGCTTCGTGGAGGACTTTCTAAGGGAAATTGAGTTGTATATAAATTACACATGATGAAAAATCACGAAAACGTGATGAAGCGAACCCGTTCGCTTGGAATCGAAGCCAGGTCGGAATTACCTGTATTCAATGGCTTTTTACCGCTAGGCTGATGGTGGGCAAAAAGGATCGAAATGAAGATACATTTAATTTTAAAGCGTTATAGATACATTTGATAAAACAAAACCATATACCTAAAAATCATTTTTGGGTTAAAATGCATGGAGATATGAAATGCGTGGAGATATAAATATGAAAAAAACGCCGGTTAGAAAATTGTATCGTATAAGAAAATTCTTATCCTTGCTTAATTCCAGTATCATAACTAGCCAACCAACAATGAAAACGCATCTCCCTGTGAAAATGCCTCATCTGTATTTAACATTTCGAAATGTAAACGCATAATTCAGCTATCCTATTCGCTGAATAAACGACGTGTCGCTTGAAATGAAATTGCGATTTATCACACTCTTACATATCCTAACCCGTTCACTGATGGCTAAGATACTAGCATATCTGCACAGAAAATGCATACCAACCGAGCACCCACAGAAAACTGCAATTTAAGGCAGTATGTTAGTTTTAAGCCATTTATATCATGGATGAAAATAATAAAAGCAAACAACCCCGAAACGCATAAATTTCCATCCAGCGATAAATGCTTAACTGCAGCTAGATTCCAGTCTCGTAAATTTTCGATACAGCGTTATGAGAACCGTTCGAGTTAGCTAGGTTCTGTGATTCAATTTCAGCAGCGACAGGCATAAATATAAAATATTTTCAGCCAGTTTTAACGGGACAAGTTGAAGCAGGTTTTAATAAGGAGGTCTGGAAAGCTCAAGATATTAATTTTCATCTTTAATTTAACCCGTGTGCAAACCATTAGAATAATTAAAATTTTGATGAATAAATTCGAGAAAATGGGTTAAGTGCATAGTTGAGATAAGTCATATTTAACGAGACGCAAATTTAATATATATTCCGACGCACCTAAACGTGACATAAGAAGTTAATCACACATGTTTTTTTAGGGAAGCTGACGCATTTGATAAAAGGCACCAGATTTAAAGCGCTGAATTAATTTGTATTTCTTAACGTTAAATTACATAGAAGAAAAATCAAGTACCTAGTTAAAAAAATATAGTCCAAAGTATGAAGTATTTAGCTCTGAGCAACGAAGGTTTTCGAATTTGCCTCGGAGAGCTGAATATAAATAGCAAATATTAGCCAGACCTGTATAATCATTCATAACTTTCAATTAGACTAGTTTTCAGAACTTTACCATTCATTGGAATTATAACTTAATGAGCAAATAAGATAGCATGATATTTTAAACAGCAAAGTAATACCACGGGGCATCAAATTTCATGACCGATAATTCTTATCGGTCATTATCGATATTCTTATCGATAATTCTTTCGGTCTTTCAACTAACTCAGAGCTTTTTTTTTATCGGAGGACGGCGGCAAAATTAAACGCTAAATTGACGTTGGTTTGACAGAAAAATTTCATGCATTACCAGATACTAATACGCGTTCCACGAAACGCAAGTACTTTTATAAAATCGATGTTAATATCTAAAGTCACTGATATTTTGTCCCGGGCCCTGTTGCTATTTGTATAAATCCAGATTAATATAAGCATTATATTAAAAAAAAAGATAATAGTGCATATTTTAAAACTGTTAATTACGCTTATTATTTACACGTGACTATAGATTGGAAAAGAAATTTGAAAGCACCATATTTCGTACTTTTAACTCTCCCTCCCCCCCCCTAAAAAAATAAGTAAATAAAACGGCATTTTCGAAATTACAAACAATTTCGAATTTGTGATTTTGCTAGATAAACTACTTCAAGCAAACATTTTTGCCGACATAATATTTTATAGAGAGAGTGACAGTCTGTACATTATATTGCACTTCACTTCTCCAAAATAATTTAGTATTTTTTTTATTTATATTATTTCTTATTCTAAATTCATTTAATAATTTTTCTTTCAGTGATTTCTTCTAGCAAAAAGACTTTTTTTCAACTGAAACAATGTGAAATCCAAAAATCTAATATTTGAACTTGACAGTAATTTAGTTAATTAGTGTGATGTTCAACACCACAGCATACACAATACCCACCTTTTAAACACTTAAAATTTGATAACACATAAAAAACACAAGCACAGAATAATATCAAAGTAGCCGAGACTCACCGATATGATTTGGTCTCCTCTCCGGACATCTCCACTCAGATCTGCTGGACCGCCGGCAAGGATAAAGGAAATGAAGATTCCTTCGCCATCCTCACCGCCTACAATATTGAAACCTAGTCCGGTAGCTCCTTTGGATAAAACCACTTTCCGAGGCTCCCTACAAGGACAGGAAATACAGACATAAGAAACTTGTTATCGACAAAAATATATCTCAAGAGAACAGAAAACTTAAAAGTAAAACAGAATTAAAAGAATGCTCCATTCATTAGTAAAAGGTGAGTGAGTAGATAAGAGCCATTTTCCAGTAAAGAACTAGAACTCGTTATGTGCTCATAAAAAGGTATATTTGCAAGAAATTAGTTTCAACATATGAACTATACTGGAGTTCTGTATATTACTATGCAATAGCTTCCACGAACTATTGCATAGCCCCTAATTTTTTCCCCCATTTTTTTAATGCCGGTCTCATTTACAAACATGAGGTTTTAAGAATTTTCACCACCTCCTTTCCGTAAGAATTCGTAAAATAAAGAATCCAATGCAGTTATCTAAACAAAAGAGAAAAATTTTAAAAACGCCGCAGTTCTTACATACAGCCGTCAGGCAAATGCTAAAAATAGCTCTTAAATTATCCGAGGCTAACTGTAGATTTATTCACATAATTGTTAATGAAAATGTCAAACATAAAAGATGGTTTAAACCATGGGTGTCTAAACTATGATCGTTTGAGAGCCGCACTGCAAAGGAAAAAAAAAATTTGCAGGGCCACATATACAATATTTTTTAACAAACTGAAATAAAAATTAGCTGTATGTTGTTTTATTAAAATTAATTCTTTTTATTATTAATTTTTTTAATTTGGATTAGATATGTATAGGTACATTATTATTAATTTGTTAAAGTTTCGTTTCATTTAGTTTGGATTTCATAAAGATGAAAAAATTCAAATTAATGAAATGGATGAATTCGCTTTTGCGCTTTTGTTAAACAAATCGATATTGAGTTCAAGAGACGAAGTTGCAATTCTTAATAAATTTTCAAGATGTTTGTCAGTGATCTTTGTCCTATTTTTGTTTTTTGTATGCTTCGTTCTTGAAAATAATTGTTCACAAATATAGGTACTGCCAAAAGCTGAAGACATTAATAAAGCATGATTGTGAAAATTATGATATTTATCGCGGGATAGGTAATCTTTATAAAACGCCAGTAAAGAAATATTTTTAAACTTTTCTTTCACTTTAATGTCACTTTGCAGTTAATACATCATGACACACTAAAATGTTTTTATTTAAATTTTTATTTTAAAATAAATGGCAACGAATCACTTACACATGAATCAAATTTAAACACTTATTTTTTAATAAAAATGTGTAAATTTGAATACTTTCATATTTTGCGTTTCGGCCGCAATTTATACTCCCTGTTTAAACAGTCTATAAAGCAAGATACTTCGAAGATAGATAAAAAGGTGACGTTCAGATTCAGACTTTCTTCAACTCAGTTCTAACAATTTTATTCCGAATTCAGCCCAAAACGAAACTATCTCCTGACCACCATTCCCAATTCAGTTTCGTTTTCATATAATAGGGGGACCAGAAAGTAATGTCGTTTCTGCGCATGTCGACAACAACATACTAAGGGCAGATGGAAGCAAATCCATGTCAAACACTCTTAACCAACATTGGTCGACCATCCAAGAACATTTAAAGCAGAATGGAAAAATAAGCAAAGCAAGGTGTTTAAGTCCCCCATAATCTGTCCGAAGAGAACAAAGCCAACCGATCCATCACATGCAATGTATTGCTTCAACGGCACCATACAGAACCGTTTTTTGATCATCTGATTACTGGAGACGAAAAATGGATCCTATATGATAATCCAAAACGCAAAAGGCAGTTTTAATAGGGGTTACAAAGGGTTTACATCCCAAAAAGGCACTTCTGTGTGTTTGTTGGAGTATTCGCGGAATTGTTCATTTTAAATTGCTGAAACCTGGACAAATTGTTAATGCAGATTTTTATTGTGAACAATTGGATCTAGTGAACCAATCTTTAATCGAAACATATCCTGCGATTGTCAGTAGAAAAGGCATCATCTGCAACACGACAATGCAAGACCGCACTGTGCAAGACGGACACTGGAAAAAATGAATGAATTGGGATGGGAGGTGCTGCATCACCCACCATACTCACCCGATATCGTACACTCAGATTTCCATTTATTCCGATCCCTACAACATTTTCTTAGTGGCAAAAAATTTGAACATTTGAATGATGTCCAAAATGCCATCTTGAGATATTTTATTCAAAAACCAATTGATTTATATCGGTCCAGGGATTGAAAATCTGCACACTAGATGGCAAAAGGTTGTTGATAACTAGGGTGATTACATTATTGATTAAAAATAAAAACGTGTTTAAATTTTATTCGTGTGAATTTAATGTAAGAAAGCGACATTACTTTCCGGTCCCCCTTATATATATATATATATATATATATATATATATACATGTATGAAAGGAAGGTAAGTTAATGACTTTCATCCTTCTTTTTTTCATGCAAAAACATTCACGTGATTTATAGTAGCATATCTTAGACTTCGGAGGACCCAAATTTTAGCACCGATTTTTCTTTTTTTTTAACCCCGTTTTTAAGCTCGTTGCGCTACATTATACTGGTTATAATAAAGTTCTAAAAACCCTTAGAAAAATTATAGATACTAAATTCCATGAAGATGATAAATCCTAATTTATGATGGCGATTCTTTCAAATCGAAATACGTCTATGAAAAACTAAAATACGAAGTGAATTTCTGATATACTAGGTGTAATAGAAATATTTTTACAGGCTCAAATGATGAACTAACTGTTCAGAAAAATCATACATGTAACAAAGCATGCCTTCAAAAATGGCGTAAAGAAGCATAAAACGAATTGTTTTATGCCAGCAAAAGTTAATGGCCATTCCGACAATTACATATAAAATATTTTGTTCATTCTTTGGGTACGCTCAGATTTTTTTTACCCATAAAATCATTTATGTACAGAAGCCCCCACAAAATTCCTAGATTTCATTCACTGCCGGTTAATGCAAAAACTACCATTTATTTTATTTTTATTTTTTTTTTTTTTTTTATTTATTTTTTTTTTTTAAATACATAAGAACGACAGCACAGCTAGTATTCTCTACCTTCCCTAATTCCTCCTCAAAACTGCTAAAAAAGAGGGGAAATTCATTTTATTGGTATAGTATAAATTGGTCCTGAATTAAACTTGAATTTCTACGGTATATTGCAAAACACAAATATTGTTATAATGTTTCTTTAAACTTTTATACTAATTTACTACTTCTATCTTCAATTTTTCAACCCACTTTGTTATTAATTATATTACCATATAACACTCGATTATCCGTAATAATGATGGTATCTCGGATAAAATGGGAAAACTGTAGTCATTTCGAGCTAAATAATATTATAACGTCCTCCTCCTGAATAAAATCACCAATTATAGGATACTGTTATTTTAATCCTTTTTATAGCTTAGCGAATTTAAATGTCACGTAAAAACGTCTTATTCCAGACAGTGAAAGGAGTTCACGATTGCTCTGCATACATGTCAACCAATGCTTGTAAAATGTACACGCAAATTTCAAGGAATACAAAGCACACCCCCCCCCCAAAAAAAGGAAGGAGTTATCAATGGCAAATCAAACATTTTTATAAATTTATAGCTTTGGATACATTTTTATGTTTCTTATAAAGACTGTCGTAAAAAGTAATTAAATAATATATAGTCAAAAGGGTATGTGAAATCACGAATGTTCGTTCACAATTATTTCATATAAATTTATATGAAATATGATTTATAATTTCATATCATATTTCATATAAATTAGTTTCAATTCAATTGTAGCAATATATCCTTAATATCGAATGTAAATTTTCATCATTATTTTGTGATCGATATCTTTCGCGTAATTTATAAATGAAAACAGTCTTTCTCATAAATATATCGATCGAAATAAAGGTAAACAAATACCTTCTGATTATAATACAGTTTTTTTTTTTTTTTTTTTTTTAATTTATCTGCATTCGAGGTATAAAAAGGAATGAAGCTTTTCCTCTAAGAAATGACCTTACTATAGATCAGTCAGTTCTAACACAATCTGAACTGCAGTACTCTCCACATTAAAATTATAAAGCATTCTGATTAATGACAAATCTTTTCCAATTTTTTCCTTTAAATTTTCAAATCTTGTGCCAAATTCAGCATGCGACTCTTTACTCTTTTTTTATACTTAACAAAATCATCATTTCTCAAATTTCTTCATTGTGATTATGATGCTGGGAAATGATTTAACTGTTCCTTACTCAAAATTGTAAAAATAAACTTCGTCAAAGGCTCCGAATTTTTTAGTGAGTATTAAAACATTTTTAGTACATACAGTTCTTTTTTGCTTTTTTTCTTGCAGTGTAATATTCAGTTAATTCAAAGAAGTCAGTATGTCAACAGAGAAAGAGGAACCATGTAACCATTCCTCATTTTGCAATTCAGCAAACCCTTTATTTTTTTCTTTAATCGCCCTCCCTTTAAAAAAAGCCACTTACGATTTTATCAAATTAAATAAACTATTAACCCCTTCGCGCCGACTGTCACGTATACGTGCCAGCAACGAACACACTTACCTACCGGCCGACACGCAGGCGTGCCAGAGGATTGTTCCGTTCTCTACCGACTGTCACGTATTTGTGCCAGTACTTTGGAACGTTTTTCAAACTATAATTTCTGCCACAAGATGGTACTGTATGTCCATATGGTTTCAGATACATGTACATTAGACCTTCTACTCGAAATGAGAGAAGCATGACTCACATACACGTGTTTTTGATTATATAAACAAACGGGGAACTAAATGTTTCCGAATGGCGTGATTTATGACGTCTCTTTAAATCGCACTTTATTCGCACGTGGTAGTTGTTTACTGTAAGTAGAGAAGCTTTATTTGCCCTAAAGCGTTGGGTATTTCGGTTTGCAGTTCAGTTTTTAGAAAATAATTAGATCTTGTTAGACGAGAATTCTTTGTTTTTACCGTTGCAATGTCGAAGCGTCGAAAATGTTTAACACAGCATGAAATAACAGAAATGATGCAAAATAT